TGCAAAAGGTCGCTATGAGTTGGCATGTACTCGATGGCACCTAACAACAACAACCTCTATGAGTATAAGTCAAGTTTATAAAATTGTAGCAGTTTACTCTCGTTTCTTTTGTTGAAAATTGTTTTGGTTTTTTGTTTTGTACAGTTTTGCTTTTTTTTTTTTTTAATCGTCCTCTGGTGGAATTCTGATTATCAAGCCTTTGAAGCTAGGTCAGATGGGTACTATCTGAAAGTTTGGGTGTTCTTGTACATCTCCCCTCACTTCATATCAGCTAGATGCTTCACTCTCAACTCTAGCCCTCTGTGGCGATCTCCTTGTCCATGGGCTCAGGTGTCCCCAGGTCTCACCACACTTGACCAACCTTCCCATCCTCTTCTCTCCCTCATCTCCAGGTCAGTGGAAGTCTTTGGACCGTTGTTGAACTCAGCCCATTTCTTCATTGCTGCCTTTCCCCCTCTTCTACTCACCAGTAGCCCAGTGTGGTTGTCAGCAAGCTTACATGCCTGCTCTTGTGTTCCCTGAGAATTTCAGTCCTAGAGGGGGATTTGTCCTGAAGGAACTTGATTGCTTGCCTTAATGGCTTCCCAGCAAACAGCTTACTTATTCTTGTAGAAGCCATTCATACTGACATTTTTGTTTTGTGTTTTTCATGATGATCTTTCTTTGAAGATGCATATTCTATTGCTCTAGCTGTTCCAGGCTGATCTGCTTGTCCTTTCTAGTGGGAATGTGCCACCTTAGAAGGTTCTGGATGGGACTCAGGATTCCACCTAAGGTCCTATACACTACAATGCCTCTGCAAGAGGCCTATTTCACTGGACAAGTTCTAGAATCCCTTTAGATATTCCAATCAGTTATAGGCCAGTGACAGGCTTATAAACTTTCTGTAATCATGTTTCCCAACGTTCCTTTCTATCCCATTCAAGTGTCTATTTTACAATAGTAGGTAAGGGAAACCAATATTCGTAAGACAGCCAAGCATCTTAGTATTATTTCTCCTCTTCAAACTATGCCTAGATCCCTGTATCACCAAGCCCTGTTCTTCCAAGGTTGAGCATGCATCACTATTTACCTCTGTCCCATTTAGCCCATGCAAACCTGTCTTAGTGTCATGGTTAACTTTTAAACTTTTTCTCCATCAGTAATTGAGGATATTTCCATCCCATACGCCAAGCACCGTATTTTGAAAATACATTTCTTTTCTCATTAAATTTTCTTTGCACCTAATTGCAAAATTTTGAGAGAAAGATGGTTTCTGCTCCCAAAAAGATTTGCAGCCTTTAAAATCCTATACAGGGTAACAGTGAGTTATACCAACTCAATGGCATGTCACAACAATTATGATATTGATTGACCATAAAACATAAGTGCTTAGTCTGAACTCGATTTATATCTCTATTTATGTCAGTATGTACTGTCGTGATCACTATGGCTTTGAAGTAAGTTGTAAAACCAGAAGGTGTTATGAACTCCAACTTTGTTCTATTTGAAATAATTTGGCTGTTCTGGATCCTTTTGCTTTCTCTATATATTTTAGGGTTCACTTGTCAAATTCTAAAATGAAAAAGAAGCAAGCAAGCAAGCATGCTGGCATTTTGATGGCAATGTCATGACTCTCTGATGACTCTGGGGAGAATTGAATCTGTATAACATTAAATCTCCTGTGGCATGTGGCTTAATGTGCTGTGCTGCAAATCCGGTTTGAACCACAGGTCAGCGCTTCAAGCTCACCTGCCGTTCCTCAGAAACACTGTACAGGGTTGCTAGGGTCGGAACTGACTCGATGGCTCTTAACAACAACAGTCCATGAACAGAGTCCTGGTGTGGCACTGTAGGATAAGCAGTGGGCTGACAGCCACACGGTCGGCAGTTCAAACCCACCAACTTTGCTTTGAGAACCCTGTACACGATTGCAATGAGTCAAAACCGACTCGACGGCACTTAACAATGACAGTAGTCCATGAGCATGAATATCTTACCACTCAGTTTTTCTCAGTAGTGTTTCGTAGTTTTCAGTGCATAAGTCTTAACAGTTTCTTTGGTTAAATTCATTCTTATTCTTTTAATACTATTATAAATAGAATAGTTTTGTTTGTTTGTTTTCCTTTTTGGGCTGTTCATTGTTACATTTCAAAAATACAAGTGGTCTTAAATTTTATTTTACCATAAAACCTTGCTGGATGTGGTTATTTTAGTAGTTTGTGTGTATGTGTGTCTTAGGACTTTCTGCATACAGGATCATGGTGTTGGCAAAGAAAGCTAGTATTACTTCTTCGTTGCAGTCTGAAGGCTTTCTTTCTCTCCTTTTCTTTCCTGGTAGCAGTAACTAGATTCTCCAATAGAATTTCAAATAGAAGTGGTTAACTTGTGTAAGTGTCTCATTCCCACATCTAGGGGAAACCCATTCTATATTACACCACTCATTTTAATGTTATATGTAGTATTGAAAATTTTTCCTCTAATTCCACATTTTTCCCTCTAACTTTACTTAGGGAACGCTGTCTATGCCAAATGGAGATTACATTGAAGGTTTTTTTAGTGGAGAATGGGGATCTGGGATAAAAATCACTGGAACCTACTTCAAACCTACTGTGTATGAAAGTGACAAAGACAAACCCAAAGTTTTGTGAGTTACGTATTAATTCTGGATTAATTATTGAATATTTTTAGTTATCATGCTTATATCAAAGCTGGGTTAATATTTTAAATGTAGAATCCAGTTTTTAAACTCTTTCTTTTTTATTTAAACAACTAATAACCTCCTTAACATATCAGTGGACATGCCTGTAGAGATCCACTTTGAGCATCTAAGTCTTAGAGCTTAGATGTTTAAAACAAAAGCTTCGTATAAGATTGATCACGTGGTCAGTGGTGCAGTCAGTGAAGGAGAGCATTCTTAAATGGAACCCATATGCAAACTTGATGTTTAAGAGTAAAAATCAAGTCCACATATACTACTTGGAATACAATAAACATATGGGAAGAGGCAAAATCTTAGATTACGTTTGTTATTTTTTTCTTCCATGTTTTTGGGTTATTAGTGATTCAATATTTTAATAGCTTCTCAGATTCTTTGTTCTGATGTGAGCTTGATATATTTTCTGTACTGTGTTTCTTCTAAGAGTATTTTTCAGACTCATTAGGTACTACATTACACAATGCTCATTCTGAAATGTGCACAGCACAGAATGTCCTTGTTTTAGCAGGAATCAATTTTACAAATTGATTTCTGTGGAAATGTAGAAGGCAGAGGAGTCAACTCCAGTGTGCTTTATACTTAACAAGTCGATTCTTATGTGCTTTGTACTTAACAATCTACATACAATCATATCTCATAAACATTAAGCAGTTAAAAGCTACCACTTTAAAACATTCATTCAGAGTTTTTACAGTGGAACCACTATATTCTTGATTAATTATTGAATATTGAGTATCAGCCTAGGCAGTGTTTGTCACAGAAGCATACCCAGTTGTCTATTAGAAAATCCACTCTTAAGGGCCCTTTTTGAACAAAAGAAGTGATTAATGAAATGTTGGTATGACTTTATTAGCAGGAAACTAGGAAACCTGGCAGTGTCAGCTGATGAAAAGTGGAAAGCAGTGTTTGATGAATGTTGGCGCCAGCTGGGCTGTGAGAACCCAGGGCAAGGGGAAGTTTGGAAAGCATGGGACAACATTGCTGTGGCCCTGACCACCAATCGGCGCCAACACAGAGACAGGTGAGTGAATGCCTACTTATAATGCGGAAAGCATGTTAAGAAAGTGAAACTTAAAACCAGTAAGTAGTCAAACCTCTTCCACATGTAATTAAAAACATAATTTAAAAGTTTATTTCTGCTTCTGAGTAAGATGGAGTAAAGAAAGCAATTCGTGGGCCTTCTTGCAAATCACCGAACATGTTTCAACTGAACTCAGCTATAAAATTTGGACAGAATGCATGGCTAGCTTTATCTTCTACTCAACTAAACCTGGGCAGAATATGTACGTAGCTATTGAAGAACTTGAAAGTAATTATCAACAAGTGAATTGGGGAAGAACTCCAAGAATTCAAAACACCACTGGTTCAGTGGTGAGTTTACTGGGTTTTTTCTTCCAGTATTCTTTGTGGAGATGGAGGGGCTCAGGAAAGCAACCCTGTTTGTTAACTCCTTGACTCAACAACCCCGTACCACCAGCACTTGAATGGATTTGACCCAAATTAGTATACCAAAGACTCCTAGAACTAAGCTAGTGGATAAACTTGTACCTGACTCCAGTCTGAGCACTCCGTGGTGTATACTCATGAGACCTGCAAAGGCTTTGAAAGGTAAACTGATATTGGCCCCACAGCCCAGAGAAACCTGAAACAGAAATAACTGTTATATAGTTTCCTAAGGCCACCCACACATTCAGTGATGAGAAGGACTCTTAGACACAACATGCAGTTGTTCTCACAGGTCAGATTGATTATCAGCAAAGTGAGACAACACAGCCAGCTCAATCAGAAGACACAAGTGGAGTCTGGAGGAATCCATGGACCAGTTGCCCCAAGTCATTCGTTGCTCTGAGGGGTCAGACAGAGCCCACTCCCCACCCGTGAATTGGAGCCACACCTGTGCATTGTTTCTGCCCTGGGAAGCCCCATTGGAGTGCCCTCATTTCTGTCCTTGCTTCTTGACCTCACTTTCACTTCTTCTGTGCCCTGCATTGAGTTATCCTCCTGTTTCCTAAATCCCCCAGCCCCTATTTTTTTCTCTCTTCATTGAATGTCTATTATCAGCTTTGGTTACAGTGTTTTCCAACATCATGGTTTAGATTGAAGTAAAATACTCATTATTTATTGTAGTTGGAAGGAGCTCTAGTAGCGTAGTGGTTACAAATCGGTCTGCGAACCGCAAGGTCAGCAGTTCGAAACTACCAGCTGTTACGCGGGAGAAAGATGAGGCTTTCTGCTCCCGTAAAGATTTACAGCCTCGGAAACCCTGTATGGGGTCGCTATGAGTCAGAACCGACTCCACGGCACACTGCCACCACCACCACCATTGTAGTTGGTGTTGTTAATTGCCATGGAGTCAGTCCTGATTCATAGTGACCCTGTAGATGGGTTTCCAAGGAGCAGCTGGTAGGTTTGAATTGCTGACCTTATGTTTAGCAGTCCAGTGCTTATCTAACTACAGGGTTACACCAGGACTGTATAGTTGGTATTAACTACACAGTTGGTGTTAAATAACATTAAATGCTGTTTTGAATGAATGTTACATAAATCAGGTACCTAATATAGCAGAACCTGGGTGGCATTGTATGATAAGCACTGGACTGCTAACTGCAAGGTTGGTGGTTCAAACCCGCCCACAGCTTCTCAGAACACTATACAAGGTCACTGTGCATTGGGTTCAATTCTGCAGCCCTTAACAGAAGTAGCAGATCAGTTGGCATTTATGAATTCATTTGGGCCAAAAGTCTGCTGGATGTTTAATTTCCTTCTTTGTTGACAACTGTGCTTCATGTGTTTATTTATAGCTATTGTTTTTTATATGAAAAATGTAATGGGGTTTTCTTTCCCTCTGTATAGCCCAGAGATATTAAGTCGGTCACAGACTCAGACACTAGAAAGTTTGGAATTCATTCCACACCACGTTGGTGCCTTTTCAGTGGAGAAATATGATGACATCAAGAAATACTTAATAAAGGTAAACTAGAGTCAAAATTATATTGGCCCTTGTGATTAATGACACAACCACAAAATACCATTCAAATTAATTTGTAACATCATAGTACCCTTTGAGCCATGGTGGCATAGTGGTTAAGCACTTGGCTGTTAACCAATAGGTCAGTGGTTTGAACCCATTAGCTGCTCCTTGGGAGAAAGGTGTGTCTGCTTACCTGAAAAATAACAACCACCTTGATCTTATTTTAAGAAGCTGTGGCAGTGCTGTGGGTTAGGCGTTGGGCTGCTAACTACAAAATCATCTGTTCAAACCTACCAGCCACACCTAGGAAGAAAGATGAGGTTGTCTGCTCCCGTATACAGTCTTAGAAACCCTCTTAGAATCCACTTGATGGCAGTGATGTGGTTGATCATGGTTTTGCTTTCTCAATATGTCTTTTATAATTTTCTGACTACTGAGAACACATTTCTGCACATATTCAAGAGGGCTCCTAAGAACTAAGTTCAGAGTTTAAATGGCCTTTTGTTAGTAACAACAGTAAGCTGCAGGCTGTATACATACATAAAGCATACTGCCCTTGCCACCTGAACATGCTCTCTCTGTTTCCTCCTCCAACACTGTGGGGTCACTACCGTTTAAAATATAACCTGAGGCTTCAGGAAGGGGTCTTAGGAGGATTCAAGGGAGCTGAAGAGGGACTGTTTCAGAGTATCATCACGAATCAATATTCAGTTTTACCCAAGCAATACTTCGTGTATATTTTTGTTGAAGTTAGGCGTATATTAGAAGTGGTGGGTTGTTTGTTTTTTTGTTTTGTTTTATTGTGGATTGAGTGAAAGTTTACAGTGCAGATCATCAGTTTTACATTCAACAAATCATGCACCTTGTTTCATTACTCCCCTCCATGTACTATTAGTTAACAGTGTTTCTCTCTATTCACTTTAGCTTTTTTATTATTTTTTTTTTTAAACAACAACACTCAGGCATATATAATAATTTATACCTCTAAAGAGCACATTCTGCAATTCAGCCTTCTGGCCACCAACTCTTAGTCCCTCTCTTCCCAAGACCCACAAATCTAGAGTCCTCAGCTGCTCTCCCTCTCCATGACCCCATCTGTACTTCCGTCTCTGGTGTCACTGCTTCTCTGGATAAGGTCCCACATTCTGCTTATGCTCCTTCCCCTTGAAGGTTCTGGGGTCCTCTGTTTCTGAATTGTAAGATTAACCACTCCCCTGTTTTTGTTACAATCGCAGTTAGTCATGGTGACAATTATTCACTATTGAATCATATGAATCTTATCCACATCTCTCTTCACCAGACCCATCTAGACAAGATGAAAACTATTCAGTGGGGACTCTTTCTTCCCCCGACACTCTTAATCTAAACTATATTCCCTCTTGAAACCTTGTAAGCCAGTCACTTCATGCCTTTATTGGCCCACTCTTTTAGGTAGCCAATGTCTAAGTTACCCATCCCTATCCTACCCTGATACAGAGGGGATAGCATTAATACTTGATGTGAAGACTCCTTTGCTCTCTGTTGGTATTTTGAGTTACTACCGCCATGAGTATAGGTCAGGTTCATCAAATTGTAGCAATTTACCCTTGTTTCCTTTATCAAAAATTTTTTTTTTGTAATATTCCTCTACTCAAGTTCTAATTATCAAGCCATCGAGGCTAGGTCAAATGGTACTGTCTGCAAGTTTGGGTGTTCTGTATCTCCCCTCACTTCATATCAGCTGAATGCTTCACTTGCAGCTCTAGCCCTCTGTGGCTATGTCCTTGTCCATGGGCTCAAGTGTCCTCAGGTCTCACCACACTTTGAACCAATCAGCCCTTCCTCTTCTCTCTCTCATCTCCAGGTCAACAGGGGGCGGGGGAGGGTAGTCAGTGGACTGTGGTTAAACTGAGCCCATTTCTTCTTTGCTGCCTTTCCCCCTCTTCCACCCACCAGTAGCCCAATGTGGTCGTTCCCTTTGAGTTTCAGTCTTAGAGGGGAGTTTGTCCT